TGTGTTCAGTAAATGATAGCTGTTGTTGTTTTCATTGTCAACATCATTTCTGTGATCTAAGCATACTTACCTGAGCATGGAGCCGGAGAGATGCCTTGTCAGTGGCAAGTTGGGGAAAGTTCCATTTCTGAGGAGGTGTCCATTGAGCTAGGCCTCATGAAGAGGGGGGAGTTTGTCAGGTGAAGGGAGAGAAGGAAGATGTCAGTTTTGGTGCCCAGCAGGAGTGAAGGCGTGCAGGTGATGAGAAGGAGTGGCAGGTAGTCTGGTAGTGCTTTGTTTATGGTATATGCTGTCAAACGGACGTTTAAACACAATATCACTATGTCTATCATTCTTTTATCTTAGATTTCTGCCTTTGGGGTCATGGTTATGGTGTGTAGAGTGGGCTTCTGTAAGTGAATATTGTTGGAAGGTTTTAAGGTGTGAGTTCTGATGCAGAAATCTGGAAGTCTAGCCCTCAGCTCCAGATTCTTATATACAACTGCCAATTTAACATTGACACTCGGAGGTGGGATTGTTGAAAGGGGTGGGCACCAGGCCAGACATAGAAGGTCTCAGAGACCTTCGAAGGGTCAAAGGGAAGGGCAGTTGTGGGATCCAGAGAGGTATCTTTTTGCCTTCAATTAATAAGGCATGTTGGGCTGGACTCGATGGCTCAGCCTGTAATCCCGCGCCTTGGGAGGCTGAGGTGAGTGAATTGCCTGAGCCCGCAGGTTCGAGACCCTCCTGGGCAACTTGGCGAGACCTCATCTCTATAATAAATCAAAAAATTAGCCAGGCGTGGTAGCGCACGCCTGTAGTTCTAGCTACTTGGAAGGTTGAGGCGGAAAGATCACTGGAGCCTAGCAGGTCGAGGCTGTGGTGGCCAGTCTGGGCGACAGAGTGAGACTCCAACTCAAAAAATAAATAAATAAATAAATAAAGACATGTTGTGTATCAAAAACTGGGATCAGCAATAATTAAGTCAATTAAAATGTCACCACACTAACAGTAGTGAGCTTTAAAGCAACAAAGCCCTGACTTTGCTGAGGGAGGGGTATTCCTGCCACAGGAGTTGGGGAGGAAATGGATAAAATTACTTCTATACTTTGTCTTCCCCCTTCCCCACTTGGA